TTGTATTGGACACATTATTCAAGGAGTATCAAGAAGCACGTGACCTTTATTATTGCCAGTTGACCTCCGAACAGGATCAAGACAGGGAACTTGATCGCTATGAAAGTAAGGAGAAGTCATTTTTGGAATTTGGGAAACAGGTTATGGAATGGATGAATGTAGCAGAACGTCGCTTAACAGAAGAACTTGATCTGCTCTCAGAAGTAAAATCGGCTTCATCCAAATCGTCCCGTGTTAGCACCCGTTCGAAGAAGTCTTCAGCCAGCTCAACGCCATGCACGAGCAAAGGAGAAACTTAAGCTAGCGGAATTACAAGCTGAAAAACAAATGCTAGAACGCAAACAAGCTCTACGAGCAGCAGATGAAGCCTTGAAACTGGAAACTGAAATAGCGAAAGCCCAGGCCAGAGAAAGGGTTTATGCCGATTTGGAAAATGATGGTAACCTAGAAAATAAGGATGGTATTGTTCCCTGTCTCCAGCAAAGTGAACCTAAATTCATGGCTTCAACACCTGCCGCTCATCTCAACCCTGCTGCCCCAGAGTTTCACTCAAACAGTCTAGCCGGCGAGATATCGCCTCCGGCTAACAACGGGACCACTGATGTACCACAAGGAATTATCGCTGCAGCTGATGATCCCTATCGATTGGAACCCCATGAAAGGTCTTTCAAAGAAGTGATGGCCATGCAGCGACAGCAAAATGAGCAAATGATTGCAACCCATCGGCAACTGGCTGCAGCAATGACTCTGCCTCAACCTGAAGTGCACAAGTTTAAAGGAGACCCCATCGAATATGGAACCTTTATCATGGCATTCAAGGCAAGGATAGAGTCCAGAACATTCAGGGCGGCAGATTGCTTATACTACCTGGAACAACATCTTGAAAGGGAACCACGAGAACTTATTGGAGGCTGTCTGCATATGGACCCTTCTGAAGGATATAAGGAGGCGAGGAGGTTACTGGAGAAGGAATATGGGGATCCCTTTAAAGTTTCAATGGCCTATGTGAACAAAGCTCTCGGATGGTCCCCAGTTCGGCCAGATGACGCATCAGGACTAAAGCGTTTATCGCTTTTCTTGATTAAGTGTAAAAATGCTATGATGAGCGTGTCTCATATGAATGAGTTAAATCATCCTACGAACCTGCAGACCATTGCAAAAAAGCTTCCCTCGCATCTCCAGTCAAGATGGCGTGATCGTGCTGCGAAATTGAAAGAGAACGGAAGGATAGCGAGCTTTAAGGATCTCGCTGATTTTGTGGTGTCAGCAGCCGAATCAGCGAACGACCCTGTATTTGGCGTGCAGGCTTTAAGTAGTACCCAGGAAAGGCGCAGAGATAACAGTGGGAGAGATGGCAAGAAGAAGCCCTCGTCAGCAACTAAAACAAGCAACAGTTTTGCCACTGGTATCACCATTCCCGGCATAGAGGCTGTAAACCATGCGAACCGAAACAATGCTGGTGGCAAGGAAAAGTTGTGCCCCTTCTGCAGCAAGAACCATGACCTGGATGATTGTGCGGAATTCCTCAAAAGGACCATGGATGAAAGGAAGACATTTCTTTACGAAAGAAAATTATGCTTTGCCTGTTACGAATCTGATCATGTATCCAAAGGTTGTGTAAAGAGACGCACCTGCAAGAAGTGCAAGAAACGGCACCCAACAGCATTGCACATTGATGGTTTCACAATGAATAGAGAGAGCGTCAGTAACAAACCCCAAGCGACGGAAGTTCAATCTATAGCGGTTAGCAATAGGCGCATTGATGTCTCTAAACCTGTACAGGACGCACCAAGTTGCAAGGAGTCCGTAGTGCTACATGCCATACTCCCAGTTAAAGTTAAACAGAAGGGCTGTAACAATTCAGTTGTCACGTACGCGTTTTACGATAATGGTAGTGGCGGCTGTTTTGCAACCGAAAATATCAGGAGACAGTTAGGAATAGACGGTGTCAAGGTTATGCTACAACTCACCACCATGCATGGACAGAGTCAAGTGGAAAGCATCATTCTGGACGATCTTATCGTTACGAGCCTAGATGATGAGAATCCCATTGAGTTGCCTCGCTTATACACAAGAGATGAAATCCCAGCAGAACATCACCAAATTCCCACGCCCAGTCTCATAAATCAGTGGTCACACCTTTCCGAGGTTGCGAAGAAAATCCCTGAGCTTGAGCCTCGCCTGGAGATTGGACTACTCATTGGCAGCAATTGCCCGCCTGCCTTAGAACCATTAGAAGTTGTACCTTGTCGAAGCGATGGCCCATTTGCCCTCCGTCTCCGCCATGGTTGGACAGTCTGTGGACCTCTCCATATCCGAACTGATCATGACAAGGACAAAATAATCGCGAACCGAATTACAGTGAGAGAAGTGGAAACGCCGAAGGAAATCATTGCTCCAACGTCATTGCTCAGAATGTTGCAGATGGACTTCAACGATCACACCGTAAGCAAAGCACCGGACGAGCGTGGGCCTTCTCAAGAAGACAGAAAGTTTTTAACTATGGTTGAAAGGGAGACGAAAGTTGTCGACGGCCACTACCAAGTTCCTCTTCCATTGCGACATAGCGATATTATCATGCCCAACAATAAGGAGCAAGCAATCAAAAGAGCAAACTGGCAGAAGAAAAAGATGTTGAGAGATTCTAAATACCGCTCTGATTACGTTTCCTTCGTAAACGATGTCATCGCCAAAGGGTATGCACAAAGAGTTCCAAATGAGTTGCTGATACCGAACCCAGGCAAGGTGTGGTATCTACCCCATCATGGGGTGTATCACCCGAAAAAACCAGAAAAAATACGCGTCGTATTTGACCGTAGTTCAAAGTTTCAGGGCGTGTCGCTCAATGACTGTCTGATGCAAGGTCCAGATATGACAAACTCCCTAGTAGGCGTGCTAACCAGATTTCGTGAAGACCCCGTAGCCTTCATGGGAGATGTGGAATCCATGTTCCACCAGGTTACAGTTCCTCCTGAACAGTATGATTACCTCCGTTTCTTATGGTGGCCAGATGGAAATCTAGAAGCCGAGCTACAAGAGTATCGGATGGTTGTACATTTATTTGGAGCGGCCTCGTCGCCAAGTGTCGCTAACTTTGCCCTTAAGCGAACCGCAAGGGATAACGAAGATAAGTACGGTACCTTGGTTGCTGACACGCTGCGAAATAACTTTTATGTGGACGATTGTCTACGTTCCGTAAGCTCGGAAGGTAAAGCAGTCGAGCTGATTGAAGGTCTTCGGCAATCCTGTAAGAAAGGTGGATTCCGCCTCACCAAATTCACTTCCAATAGTCGTGCAGTTTTAGAGTCTATACCAGAGGATGAGCGATCGAAAGAAGTCAGATCAATAACTCTTGACTGTGACAACCTCCCTATCGAGCGTGCCTTAGGGATACAGTGGTGCGTACAATCAGATTGTTTTGGATTTCGAATCGTCATTAACAGCAAACCGTTTACAAGACGAGGAGTCATGTCCACCATCTCATCAATCTTTGATCCCCTGGGCTTCATCGCTCCTTTCACACTTCTAGCGAAGAAGCTGTTACAGGATCTCTGCCGCAATGAAGATCTCGACTGGGATGACGACATTCCGGAAGACTGCCGCAGTAAATGGCTAAGATGGTGTGGAGAGCTTCCGTTACTAGAGCAATTTCACATTGATCGGTGTCACAAACCGCCGGGTTTTGGCCCAGTTGTCTCCAGACAGCTCCATCTGTTCTCCGATGCAAGCCAGGTGGGGTATGGATGCGTTGCCTACCTACGTCTAATGGATAACATGGGTCGCATACATTGTTCCTTTTTAATGGGGAAGGCTCGTCTTGCACCTATTAAGGCCGTAACAGTCCCACGCTTAGAATTAACTGCAGCAACCGTATCTGTTCGCGTGGGACAAATGCTGTATGAAGAGCTTGAAGTTAAGCCTGAGTCTATCATCTATCACACCGACTCGACGACGGTTCTCCGCTACATAAGAAACGAGCGGAGGAGGTTTCAGATATTCGTGGCAAATCGTGTGCAATTGATCAGGGACTTCACTAGTCCTATGCAGTGGAAATACGTGGACACCAGTAGCAATCCGGCAGATGATGCCTCAAGAGGACTTTCCGCCGCTGGACTTCTGCAGCAGCAACGCTGGTCAAATGGTCCACACTTCCTAGGGAAATCAGAAAAGGACTGGCCGCAGCAGCCCTTTCCAGTCGGTGAGGTCCCAGATGACGACCCTGAGGTCAGAAAAGTTGCTTCCGCCGGTACCATGGTAATGGAGGCCACGGCTACGTCAGTTAACAAACTAATAGAATACCACTCGAGTTGGTATCGCCTGAGATTGTCGGTGGCCGCATTCCTTAGAATCAAGGCTGTATTGCGAAAACGGAAGGAGATTAGAGGCCAGGGTTCTCTCGAGATAGATTCGGACCATGGTCAGGCAAGGTCGGGCGTGAAGTCACTACAAGCTGAAACGAAGGTAGTGGGTGACTGCTGCGCACCGCTCTCAGTTCAAGAGTTTGAAGAGGCCGAGATGGCCATCCTTCGCTTCGTACAGTTGCAGTCCTTCAGTAGAGAGTTTGACGCTCTCAGACAAGTCAGTGACAAAGGCGGTGGAGACGAACGGGGTCGGGCAAAGCAAAAGAAAATGGTGCTGAAGAAAGCAAGTTCCCTAACTCGGCTGGATCCCTACATTCATGAAGGCCTCCTTCGTGTTGGTGGCCGCCTTAGCCGCGCTGACGATCTTCCAGAAGAAACGAAACACCCCATCATCTTACCTCGCAAGAGTCACGTTACGAACTTGATTATCAAACGCCTACACGAACGCCTAGCACACGCAGGCCGCGGTCACACACTTGCTAAATTGAGGGAGAAGTACTGGGTCACCGGTGCCAATGCTGCTGTTCGTCACCTAATCGCAAATTGTGTTACTTGTCGCCGTAATCGTGCCCCTGTCGCTGAACAGAAAATGGCTGACTTGCCTAAAGACCGAGTGACTCCAGCCCCGCCATTTACGTATACTGGCGTGGATTACTTCGGTCCGTACATGATCAAAGAAGGTCGAAAGGGACTCAAACGGTACGGATGCCTTTTCACATGTTTAGCAAGTAGAGCAGTGCATATTGAGACCGCCAATTCTCTCGAAACAGATTCATTTATCCAGGCTCTGAGGCGATTTATTGCTCGTCGTGGGCCTATCCGAGAGATCCGGAGCGACAACGGAACAAATTTTGTAGGCGCCAAGACAGAGTTACAGCAAGCAGTTTACGAAATGAACAACGAGCAAATCAGAAGCAGGCTGCATCTAGAGGGTACAGATTGGATTTTCAACCCACCGAGTGCCAGCCACATGGGCGGCATTTGGGAGCGGCAGATTCGCACTACCCGCAAAGTACTCACTGTTCTACTCCATGAGCATGGCTCCCGTCTGGATGACGAATCCTTTAGAACTCTACTATGTGAAGTTGAAGCTATCATTAACTCGAGACCGCTAACATTCGCTTCGAGTGATCCCGATGACCTCAACCCACTAAGTCCCAGCAATCTCCTGACGATGAAAACCAGCGTTGTACTTCCCCCAGCAGGAGTTTTTCAACGCGCAGATGTCTATATGAGGCGGCGCTGGCGGAGAGTGCAGTACTTGGCAAACTTATTTTGGACGCGTTGGAAGAGAGAATATCTCCCAACTCTCCAACCTCGTTCGAAGTGGAACAGTCCCAAACGGAATCTAGCTGTCGGAGACGTTGTCCTGTTGAAAGACGACAACTGCCCGAGGAGTGTTTGGCCGATGGGACGAGTCATAAGCGCGGAATCAGACAAGAAGGGGTTGGTACGCACGGTTCATTTGAAGACCCAAACCTCCCAACTACGCAGACCAGTTGACAAGGTTGTCCTCTTGCTAGCTAAGGAAGAACAATCGTGCCTCGATAATGAACAATGAAACAGGAAGCTCGTAAGGGCTGAACCTTCATGGAATATTCATAGTCCCTATTTCTTTAAGCGGATTGTGTGACGGACTAGACTCGTTAGCTTTAGCGAAGGACATGACAAGTTATTTTTCATAATTACTACTTTATTTTGTAGCTAAGAACTTTCCATGTTAAGCATCGCTTAAGGGGTCGGGAATGTTACTGCCGTTATGCGTGATGTCACGCACTCATTAGCTAGATCCCGAGAGGCGCTGCGAGTTAAAAAATACATGTGCTCGATCGAAGTGGAGAATCGTTTCAACGCCCGTTTAACGTCATCGTTTATATTATAAGGACACAAACGTAAGTTTTTTTTTTGGTTTCGTTTCTTGTTTGTCTAGCCTTTTTCCGTATTTATAGTTGTAAATTTCCTTTGTTTCCTTTTAGTTTTCGAAACCGTACAACGTTCGTTCAAGATTGTAAAGTCCATTTCATAATTACAAGTACGCGTGTTCAAGTTTGTGTTGTCGTACCGTTTTATGCGTGCACAAAGCAAGATACGCCAACTCAATATAAGTGAACTTTTAGATGATGGCTGCGCAGGCTGTAGCCTTTGTTCATTTTGACTTCTGTGTATTTTTACTATAAATCTCTTAATGAGTTAACTATAGATATTTTACCTACTACTGTATATAGTTTTTTTTTTTTTTTTTTTAGTTTGTATATTCTCCCCTAATTGGTGTCCCCAAATTAGTAAGGGATTTGTTCCCTGGCTAGACGGTTTTTGACACTTTAATAAAGTTTCTATTCTATTCTATTCTATTCTATTCTATTTGACACTTTTGAGAGTGGAAACCCTTCAGAAATAACCAACGCAACATTAGACCTCTCATGAACTGTTGCTGGGTTGTATGGTGGACCTTACAGAGCAGCAATAGTAGCATTGTACAGTGTGATTGGGACGATTGTCTCAGCAAACAAACCAGATGAAAAGAGTATTATAGAAACACTAGATGATTCAGACCTCTGAAATGATTGCACGCAGCTGTTTCTAGGCAAACTCTCACAACGATTTTAGAAACCGCTGCCATTCAAGTACGAGGAAAACCTTTCAAAAGATTCTGATGTGGAAGACTTTGTGAGAGCTTTGTTGTTGTTCTGCCAGGCACATACTTGCTACTTGACGTTCTTAATGGCAGTAAACGGAAGATTCGAAGACCTTAGCGACAGAGTCCTTGAGAAAAGAAAGGGTACAGCGAAATATTGAAGATCAAATGCAACATGCTAAAGACGACTTGGCTTTTCTGTCAGATAAGAAGTATCTAACATTCTGTGCACGGCTTCCATCATCCGGTGGCAAGTCAAAAAAGATCTTGATCAAGAAACCCGAAAGCGATAGAGGTGAGGAGGACAGGCGCAGCTTAAAACTGTCTCCAATGTCTTCTAACAATGTCGTTCAGAATACAGCTATGACACTTTCAAAGCGGCGTGTCCGTCTTAATTTTGAGAAATACGATTGTCCTTTATATGGTGTGCAGTTTATCAAACGCACAAACTTGCCTTTGAAAATCGTGTCATCAGAAGCAGGCAGTAACGAGGACAGTTTTTAATTGGAAAAAGATCTTTTAGCTTCTGAATCTCTCGAACAAAGTATCCCATTTTTTTCGTTCTCCACTTGCGGATTCACAATCCTTTACAATGACAGAGAGTTACGTTCAGATTAAGAACCAGGAGTCATGTGAGACTGATCGAAATCGCCGTGTCTAATCCTTGCTTTGGAGTTAACAAAATGTTTTCATATATATCCATTTCACTCCCACGATCTCAATATTAATTCTTCTCCCTCTCTGTCATACATTACCTATAGCGTTAGTTTTGAGAATTTGGTGTTAAATCAAACAATATCCCCCAGTTGATTTTTCCTGATTCTCATTACCTGTCTGCTTTACAGTGTAATGATATTGCAAGGAGAAATTACTTATTGGTCACTCCTGGGAGTGAAAGGGATATTTACAGTTATTTATTCATCACTTCTCGGGTTTATTTGGAACCAACATAACAACCAGCTCCCAGTTGGCTTGTCAGCTCAGTTGGTAGAGCACTGCAACGGTATCGCAGAGGTCATGGGTTCAAATCCCGTACACGTCTGAATTTTTTTCAAGCCTTATTTTCACTACTGCTCAGGTAGTGTTCATTACTGCAAAGATCGCTTTCATATTCACTTCTTTATCTGCAGTTCACATGGATGATTTTCGTATATATTCACAGTTATTCAAAAATTAACATTAAAGAGAAAGATGATTAGCAATTCACAAAGGGTTTAGATACCTACAACACAATGTGTGATGATGATCGAAAGGAAATCTTACGGGAAGAAAACGTGGAGCAATACACCGGAGCTGTAGATCTCCGGTTTACTCGGATAGAAGTGCCGAGTCCTCCCTCAAGATCTAATCACATTCCTACCTGGCGCTTTTTGATCCGGGAACTCAAATCTGATACAGATGTTGAAACCGACATGATCAACTCAGGCGACTGATTTTAGAAATGAAGATAAAGTTTTCTTTTTTCAGTAATCAAAATGGCAATTCATTAATATAAGCCTTGATAATGTTTTGATTTAATTTGTCCATCGCTGAAACATTACCTCAGGTTAGAAATCAAGAAATGGCCATCACACAATCCATAATGAATATGCATTATCATATCCGTCGACGGTTTACGAAGAACAATTACGAAAAATAATTCGCTAATTCATATGAGTAATGGGGTTCTAAAGAAACTGTGGTTCTGCGTTAGTGGGGGAGTATAACAAAATAATTTTGGTTTAAAAAACTGAGTTGATAAAGTATATCGGCCACCGTCGAGTTTCAAAACTGACGTTTCAAGCGTTAGCCCTTTGTGAGGGCGAACGGAAGAATTGTGGGTTGTGTGTGTGTTTATATGCTGAAAAATGGAGCTACGCTATTAGTGGGAATGTAGTGACGAGAAAACAAGAATAAATATGTTGAATGAAGGGCGTTCGTTGATACCGTTCGGTTTAAGAGTGCCGATTTGAAAGAGAAATTTTTGTTCAAGAGTTTTGCAGCTTTCTGAACTGCATGGATGTAAGGAAACGCCGCAGAGTGCCATGTGCTGCATAGAATGACAAGAGAGATTAAAGTGTATGGAAACTGGTTTGCATGCGTCCTTGTCATTACTTTCTAAGTCGCGAAGGTGTTCTCGGAGAAAGTCACCTGGTCATCTTTCTGTTTCACCAATTCATCTCTTTTTGCAACAAGTGCATATCAGTATGCATATTCTCCATGCTGCTCTCTATACATTTTTCAAGGTGCTGATAAGGAGAATTTGTTTAACAATCAAGAGTTTTTTAAATGATGATCACTTCCTTTATTCTCATGACCTTAGTGATGGTGATATTGTAAGGAGAAATGTGATACTAATCACTCCAAGGGGTTAAAGGGTTAAGGTTTCTTTTCCAAAATCCCCACCCCCACCCCAAGGGATCGAACTCTCATCTTAGAAGAGCGGTGTTACTCGTATACATTATCGTGTTGCATAGGAGCGCAGAATCCGAGGGAGGAGTTATCCGGAGGAAGTAGGATTTATTAGAATGGAAGGGAGGAAATTATTGCCTTGTCTTGTAGTATTTCCATTAAACCCTTACCGTGTATAACTTTTAAAATGCTGTTGTGTAATTAAAGTGAAGGAAGTTGTGCTCTAACAACAGAATATTTTAAAGACCTTCTGACAAGCAACAATTGGGGGATCAGGATATATTTGCACCAGGTTATTGTTGTCTGAAATAAGGTGCCGAATCTTTTTGACATTCTGTTTAGCAGGGTTGAAAGTCCTAACGAACAGAAAAATCTTTTTAGATGATTTCGGTTTGTTTCTCATAGCCGTGTTGCGGGATGAGAACTGGGCATCGGCAAAGACCTTTTGGACGAGGTCCTGAGGGTAGCCTCGTTCTATAAGGCGAGATAAAAATTCTTTCTTCCTTAGCTCAAAAGATTCTTTAACCGAGTTTGTTCTCATTAAGCGTAGTGCCTCTCATTTTACAAAATCCTTCTTAACCGTTTAGCCCCTAAGAGTGACTGGCATCTAATTTCTCATTTCAATATTACCCTTTATTCACGCACTAAGTTCATGAGAATTATGGAAATGATCAACAACCACAGAAGCTCTGGATCATTAAGCTAATTCTCCTTTGTCAGCACCTTAGGAAATGTATAGAGAACAGTGTGGAGAGTTTGCATACTGATGTTAGGGTGTAAAGGGTTAACACTGAGAAGGTGGCGTGAAGATAACTGTGTGTATCTTGGAACGTTTCTGTCGGCTTGTAATATGTTTAAACATCAACGATTTTGCTATCGGTAAATCTCGGTCCTTTAAACACTTCAGTATCGAGAAAAACAATTTTTTTTGATGACTGTTCATTCATGAATCTAAAGGTGGCGCGGAATGAGTTAGCAAAATCAATGAAGTTGTTGATTTCGGTTTCGGGAATGGTCCACGCATAAAAAATGTCATCAATGTATCTTTTCCAAAGAAATGGTTTCTGTGGGCTTGTAGCTAGTTTGTAGCTGTTTCTCAATAAGAGCCATGAATATGACTGCAAAAGCTACCGTCATTTTTTTCCCAAAGCTATTGCGAGTGTTTGAAAATAGTTTTTGTGGTTGAATTTGAAAGAGTTTTCTTTATGAATCAGTCTTATAAGGTGTCTCAAAACTGTTGTTGGGATCGGAGGTTTTGACTGATAATGCTCTTCGTACAGTTTTGACAGACGACTTTAATTCCTTCTTCCTTCCTTTAAACCCTCCATACAAGAACAAAAAAGAATTTCTTTGTTTTTGCGCGCCGTGTCTCCATGTAGGCAATTGTGTTCCGCAGGTTGTTGAAACTCGCTTCCGTCTTAAGACGCTTAGGGGTTGGTTTTTACAAAGGCATGTCGTGGTCGTTTGGTAACTCTTAGTACTTTTTGGAAGCTAGTTTTGACGAAAGCAAGTCGTCGTTTAATTCTGCACTGGCTCGTTTAGTGCGTGCCTTCACAATGGAACGTTTGGAGGCTGACTGTTTTTCTGGGGAGATGTAATTGGCGAGATCAGTAGCGTTTGGCTGTCTCTTATTTTAGCGAGTATAGCACTGACTTTTCTGTCTCCAATAGTGGCCATGAGGTTCTCAGAAGAACTGTTATTGCAAACTTACTCAGTATTAAGTTCACCGTTTTTGTAAAACGCCAAACATACCACCTCAATTAAAAAAAAAAACATAAATTTTTCCGTTTAATCTGTTCCCATCACCATTTTGCGTCTTTATCGAGCGGCACTAACAGAACTGACTCGAGATATTATTTTTTGAAACCAGAGATTAAATGTCCAATCTGGGAACTAATCTGAGCTTGGATACACCACGGCAACTTACTCCAAAAAGGTTAAAACCGGTGGTGCATGCTACATAAGCTGGGTTCTCAAGTGGGAAATTTAACCTCCTAATCTATCTCTCGATCCAGGTCTCTACATGTAATTCGTCTGGAACTTAACTTAACAAAGCTGAACAACTTAAACGAGGATGAAAAATTTTTTTCAATGATCGGTACAGTGTAATGGCGGACAGTTAAAACGAAAAATTGTTGCTTATTGAAAAAAAAAAACAACAAGAAAACCATCTCTTTTTTGGCAGTACTTAGAAGGGTGTAATTTCATCAAAAATTAAATCAGAATCGGGTGAACGGGAAGACATTTTCCTCTTTTTTCTTACCTCGAGAAACTTTAACTAAATGTTCTTGTCCGAAAGCTTCCTTAGATGCCCAGTAGCCTCTCGGAAGATTACCCTCCCACCCTCCCCCGACCCCAAGTCTTACTTGTCACCACTCGAGTGGTCTACACACACAAACCAAGTACAGTAAACAATGTCGCCAGTAAAAAAAACCTTTATTACAAAATATTTGCGGTTCTATTTACATTAAGCGTTGTTTTTCACTCTGGTGATTCAAAATAATTCGTCTACCTGGTAAGTCTCTTTGACCCAAAATTAAGATTTGACTTGCAACTATTTATTTTGTTTAAATATAAAAATATACTAAAAATTGATGAAACTATATCAGCTAATAAAACTCGTCAAAACACAGGTTTAAAGCTGGTCGGTGTCTCTGAGTTATAGCTTTAAGAATTGCACGACATTCAGGACTAACTATCGAAGGCAGATTTAGTGTGGTTAGCTTACAGCTTGGATGCTGTAAAGCTTCACATAGACTGGCAACACCGGTATCAGTGATAAAACTACCCTGCAGATTTAGTGTGGTTAGCTTACAGCTTGGATGCTGTAAAGCTTCACACAGACTGGCCACACCGGTATCAGTGATAGAACCACCCTGCAGATTTAGTGTGGTTAGCTTACAGCTTGGATGCTGTAAAGCTTCACATAGACTGGCCACACCGGTATCAGTGATAGAACCACCCTGCAGATTTAGTGTGGTTAGCTTACAGCTTGGATGCTGTAAAGCTTCACATAGACTGGCCACACCGGTATCGGTGATAGAACACTGTAGATTTAGTGTGGTTATGCTTACAGCTTGGATGCTGTAAAGCTTCACATAGACTGGCAACAC